ACATGCCTTGTCATATATGTTTTCATATCTATTATGTTGTGCGATTAGAATCTTCTCGATAAGGTATATGTTTACTTCTTCCTCTCATTTCCTCAAATAATGATGAATTGTCGGTTTTCCAGAGCTAAGATGCGAATAGGATTAGCTAAACCTATTCATGGGATTTATGAACAATTGAGTGTTCTTTCGTGTGTGGAGAATATAAGCGTACCGGTTAAAATCAGCCTTACTACCTTTGATAGAGTCTCATCCCTTCTGATTGTATTCTCCAAAGTGTTGGTATGTTGCAACGAACCCATTTATCGTTTGGTATGCATTTGTTTGGACAATCATTGTCATGTTTACTCCTTTGTGGAGGTGTTTGTTCTTTCCAATTCCTTTTTAGGTGGGAAATGTTTCATTGCAAGAAGAAAGATGTGCAAGAGAAGTGGCCAAGCCAAGGATGAAATAAATGTTCTCCTTCAAAGCCCTTTTGCTGTCTTATTATGGGAGCTTACTCCATTCCTTCTCAAGGCCAGAGAAGACTCCCTTTCATCTTTGAAGCTTATGTTTCAAGACCAAAACACAGCTTACCGCGCCTATGCTATCTCGACTATTGTTGTTGGGACATTGATACCTAAGGCGGTTCATATAGCTGGTGTAATTTTAGCTCTCGAGACACTAGATGTGTTCTCCGACCCACAAGTGCTCATCTCCTTCATCAATTTAGAAGGATTCCTGATTGAGCTTAAACATTGGTTCTTCGAGATAAGATTTTTAAGCTTCTCACCCCCCCAACTATCTCTTTCTTTTCCATATCTCTTTTGACTATTGTAAAAGTTGTTTTATTAGTTAATGTGATCTTGGTGATTGTAAACAATTTCTCCATATCTGGAGAGTGATCTCTTTCTTCATAAAATTGCAGTTTGTGACAAAAAAAATGTATATATATGAGACGTAAATCTCATGGGGTAATTAATGAAAAATAGAATAGCAGAATCATTGAATGATTTAAGAAATCATAAAAAAAGTAGAAGTTTTTTTTTTGAAAATTCAGTAGTATACTTTAGTTAAATAGTTATTAAAATTTTTTTGATGATTAACAACTTTGATCTTTTATAACAAAAGACCAAAGGTTGTTAATTATCAAAATTTTAGTGATATGACACTAGATTAAATAGTGGAATCACATTTTGAACCTAGAATCAACCACTTTTTGAAACTTGAAAACGTACAAATTTGATGAATATTCTAAATGATAGAACAACGTAATTTTTTTTATAAGCATGTGAATATCATTATAGAAAATGAAAGGGTTTGTAACTAATTACAAAATATTGCTTAACCAACCATGACGATTCTCGATGCC